GCTGCATGTGGCACCCATAGCAGACCTGCACTGGATATGGCATCCATGGACCTGATCTAGCCTGCAGATCAGCCCCATGCCCCTCTTTGGCCTGCAGGACCAGTAAAATTTGATATCCCTAATGTATGATACAGTAGCCCTCCCCACCCAAACCCCAATTTTTTGAACTGGCTAAAATGGGAGGCCATTGCAAATAGGGAAGTATTTGATTTGGATTTGGATTCAGCTAATTTGGAGGACAGTGATTTGATCTGGAGATTCAGATTACTGCCCCAAATCAGTTCAACCAAATTAGCTTCGGAAGATCCGGTGATTCATCCACAGACTATAAAGGGGAATCACTGAAATACCTATAACTTTGTCATTTGTTGGCATATTTGGATGAAAACAGCAGGGATGGTAGCCCCCTTTCCCCCTCCCTCCCAGCCTGTCTCTCACCCACTGATGCCCCAATTTACGTTTTCACTGACTGGCTTTCTTGCCCGCATTGCATGCCAGTCTATGGCTTCTTTACTATTCCTTCCATCCAGGAACAGCACACACACACACACCAACTGCAGGTGCTTCCTCAGTCTGACAAAGGGTTTTAAACCCAAAAGCCTATGCCTCGCAAATGACATCCCAAATAGCTAAGCTCATCTGGAGCCTCACAACTCCACTGCAACCAGAAAGCCTCAGGCCTCTCAAAGATCTTACAGGTCTGGGCTTTCCCCAGCCAGGACTGTGCATGTGTGTGGTGGCTGGAGATTATAGGGTGCCTCCTACCCACCTTTCACCAGGGAGGTCCTTGATCCTGGCATTTTCTGGGGCTACCGCACTGCTGGCAGTCTCACCATACCTCCCAACCCTGGCAGGGTGCCATTTTCGGTCATGCTCAGGACCTGGGCTGCCTCCTTCTCCATAGCCCCAACCCCTACCTCCAAGTTTCTCCTGGCACAGGAGCTCAGCAGGAAGCTGTTCTTCCCCTGCTGGCTGGTGATGCAGTGAGTGCCACCTCCAGCTCTGAGACCAGGGCATTAAATGATTTTTTAAAAAAGGAAATAGGTGTGGACAGAGTGAGGAGGATGGGACTCCATCTGCAGGTGGTTCTTGGGGAACCCCAGCAGTAGCAGGTTTACCTTCAGGAACACCAGCTGCTCCACCAAACCAGGATCCAAGGAGGTGCAGTGGGGTGTCACAATAACCCCAGCAATGCTGAAAACTCTCTCGCTTGGAACACTGGTTAGTGGACAGGACAGGTGTTCCCAGGCAACCATGGCTAGATCCTGCCACATCTGGCTGTGAGTTGCCCCATAGGCCAAGGGGTTGCGGACCAGTGGCTCTATGTTATCGGTGAGATATGTAGCCACCGAAGCCTTGGTGCTACCTGCCCAAGACTGGGGTCTGGTGTGTCTGGGCCCCAACATTGAAGCCAGGCCCTTGGCCCACATTGGCAGTGGTTGGTGTGGAGGAGACTGGCTGGTGCTGGGAGTGCTGGCACAGGAAAGTGGATCCCCCTCTTCCACATCTCCTTGCCTCTGCCCTTCCGCCTCCCTGACTCTGTTCACCAGCACCCCCATCCAGTGATCAAGGGTTTTGGTCCTGCACATGCTCCCCTTCAACCTTGGGTCACACATGCCCACCAGCACATAGACCATACTGGGCTGCAACAGATCCAGCATGTTTTTGATGCCCTCCTTCAGCTGCTTCACCAGTGCATACACCTCTGGTGAAAGCGGCTTGCCCCAGTCAGGAACATTGGTCCCCTGGAACTTCTCCATTTGGTTCTCAAGCTCCTTCACTATGGAATCACCTAGCTAAGGAGAGCATCACCAGCACTGGGGGACTCAGTATCCTCAAGGAACAGCTTGAACACCATCAAGATCTGAGAGATGGTATCCCACTCCACTTTGTTAAGGGAGCTGCTGATCCCGATCTCCCTGAGTAAAGCCATCTCATGGATGGCCTTCTGTTGCTCCACCAGCTTTTCCAGAATCAGGTATGTGGACTTCCACTGAGTCTCCACATCCTGTATGATTTTGTGCTTTGGGATGCTCAGCTGTGCCTGTTTCTCCTGCAGAATCTTGCCCCCTTGATGCTGCAGTGAAAGTAGCCCACCACTGTCCTGCATTTTGAAATCACCTGGGTGGTAGTGATGGTGCCACCACTGGCAGCCCTGTCCCCCTCCAAGACATCCCTGACTATAAGGTGGAACTTGAGTGCCACACAGTGGATGCCAGCAAAGTTGGCATCATGGACTGCCTTGACCATATTGGCCCTGTTGTCAGTGACCATGAACCTGCAAGTGAGCTCACCCTGCCCAATGAACCAACCATGCACCATGCAGTTCATGGCCACCACGATCTCCATTGCTGTGTGGGACTCATCTATCACCTCGGCTTGAAGAAGAGCCCACCAATGGCCTGACTGATGGTACCAGTGTTCTGTGAGGGAAAGGTAGGCATGATATCTACCCCGGCTGCTCCAGATGTCCAAGGTGAAGTGCAGTTACCTGTGGACCTGCCTTGCACAGCTCCTCCATCAAGTACTCCCTGCATGCCTCATACAGAAAGGGAGCCACTGTCCTGTTAAAGGTGGTGCATGCAGGCACTTTGTAGTATGGGGCCATGGACCACCTGAATCCTTGCCACTCAACTAAGGAGAGGGGCTGACCATCCAGAGCAAGCATCTCCCCAATGTTCTGGGTGACCTTACTTGCCTTTGGAATGGGCCCCCCTTTGTCTCTGCCTTTTTCCTACCACTCCAGGGTGGACTGCCTCTCCTTTAGGGGATGGGAGCTTTGGAGTGAGAGGGGGAATGCCCTTTGGGCACACTCCCACAGGTGCCAGGCTCAGGAGGAGCAAGGGCAGCAGCATCACCACAGTGGTGAAGTGTTTTACCTACTTGCCCTGACTGATCTGCCTTCGGCAATGCTGGCAGATAGCAAGCGTGGGATAATCTGCCACCACAAAATGATCCCACACTACACTACTCACCCACTTCTGGGTTCAGGGTGGGTATCCTGCCTTATTCCCCTCCTCAGCCAGAAGAGACACAAGAACAGGAGGAGCTGACTCAGCTGAGCTACTTGCCTCCACAACCTCAACCTCAGCCTCCTCTAAGGTGCTTTCCAAAGAAGGAGACCTGGCTGTAAGGGAACTTGGAGGGGTGTGGAGCACAAACTCAAATTTTCCCTCATTCCCCAGAATTTCCTTTGCGAAGGCACTCAGGTCTCCTGCTTCCAGATCCAGCTCCTCTGGCACTGGGAGGCTCACACTGGGAGATGAAAGTGGGGTGGAGGAGGTACTGGTGCTGGTGGCTATTTCTGGTGTTAGGGGAGGTGGTGCAGGTGCAGAGTCAGGTACTGCTCCTACCTCCTTGTTTCCATTGGCAGCAGAAGACACATCACTGCTAGGAAAGAGGATGTGTCTATGTTTGGGGGGTGGAGGAGGACTTTCAGCTCTCCCCTTACTCCCTCTAGCCCCTCTCCCTCCCCCGCCTGGAGACCTGGCACCTGCCTTTCCAGCAAGCTTCATATTAATCTTTGCTGTGCTGGAAAATGTGTGTGTATGCAACTGTAATACCTCTTCTTCTGTCTGTGTGTGTAACTAATATCTCTTCTTCTCTGATTTCTGTACGTGTCTGACTAATTTCTCTGTTTACTGTATGTGTGTGTAATTAATAATATTAATATCTGTTCTTCTCTGATTACTGTATGTGTCTGTAATTAACTAATATCTATTCTTCTTCTCTGTTTACTGCATGTGTGTGAGTGTGTGTAATGTATGTACTTTCCTGAACAGTGCTGGATTACACTGCCAGGGAAAACATAGCTTTCTTTTTAAAAAGTGTGGGATAAACAAAATAACAAGAAAAAATAAGAGGTTTTTGGGGGAAGAATAAGTTGAAAGAAATGGATTGGATAGTGATAAATAGAGGGATTCTAGGCAAGGGTGGTTAGTAAGCTGTATCCAATCCTTTCCAAGAAGACAGACTAGCGTGAGACTGACTAGGAAGCCAAGCCAGTTCAATAGTACCTTTCAGATGCTGTTTCTCAGGCAGAAACAGCTCACAAAAGGAACAGAAAGGCTACAGATAGAGGCTTATATGCTGTTTCTATGTCCCTTCCCCAGAGCACTGTGATTGGATGGGGACTCAAGGAAAGATAAGTCAGTGGCCAGCTACAGATTTCAGTCTTCCTCCCCCACCCTGCTCCCCCACCCCCTTTGCAGTTTCTGTTCCCCTGAAAAACTGCCTTCCAAACCACCGAATCTCTGAATCTTTTTCCAAATCTTTTGCAAATAGATTTGGATGCTCCAAATTGATATGGAGGAGTTTTTTGGTTTCCTGATTCAGATTCGGTGATTCAGCCTCTGAATTGTGCTGAATCTTCTCTGAATCGAATCAGTGACTGAAGCTTCACGCACCCCTATCAAATGGACACTTGTTGATGCCCAATTTGCCTTTAAAAGAATTCTTCAGTTATAATGATATATTTTCTTTTCATGTATTTGTTGTCTTATCTTCTACTATAGTTCTTGTGAAGGCTAAAAGAACCTGGAAATATTAAAATAGATTCAAAACTACTCTGCTGATGTATCTACCTAACTATTGTGCAAATTCCATATAAAACATTGTTCCAGATTTGTTTCTTTTGTTCCAATATCATTACTTCTTTGAGATGGTAGAGAGTATAAAACCAACTGGTCTTAAATGGCCAGTTATAAAGTTTTCTAGTGTAGAGGTGCTCTTAACAGCTGTAACACAAAGTAGCTGAATGCTACATCTTCCCCCAACCCAGGCACACCTTTGCATAAAGACAGGATGGGCAAACTGGGGGAGGCAACATAGCATATGTGCACTGGTACAAAATACAAAGTAGATAATAAATAACAATTATGATAGTCAATTATTTACAGCTGATTCTGTGCACACGCCTGATTTTGGGGTGCGATAAGTTTGTAACCCATGTGTATGTTTGATATAATTTTTTCACTTTAATTTCTCTTCCCTGTCTTCAGCAAAGTGCATCCACAGAGAAAGAGACCCTTCATGTTGCCTCAGCAAAAGGAGGAAACCAAAGCATCCAGGAGTGTGATTCTCAAAACGTAAGATGAATCCACTTGGGAATAGGGGCTTAATATAAATAAAATGCAAACTTTCTTGTTTTTAAAGCTGTCTGTCTTTAACAATCACGTTGGTCCATATATTTTACAAGTTGGCTATTCTACATTCTGATGTTGAAGAGCAGGTAAATCAATGAAGATGTATATCCTGGGTCTCTTTTAGGGATCAGTTTACAAGGTTTGTAAATCTGTTGTGAAGGTAAAGCAGTAAAGAGATGGAATAATGAGTTACAAGTTCAGCAGTCTACTTATTCCCAAAGTGGTTTGGTTGGAAAGCTTCTATAATACAGTAACACAGAGAATGTTGTTTATGTAATCTTTCTATTTGTAAGCAGGAACATCTGTTGCAGTTGCTTATTTGAAGGAAGAGAGAGAGAGAGAGAAAACCTAAATGAGATGTTTACCTTGACCAGTAAAAGACAATAATGTAATTATAAAATCGTGTTACTTAGTCTACCCCCGAGTTAGTGACTAGCAGAATATATGATTCTTTCCATGACGCATCTGACAGAGGCACCAAAATGTCAACCTTAATACAGACAAAATATACATAAAAGCAAAAAAATTATACTCATTATTGTGAAAACTCAGTCAATTTATTACAGATCTTTAAAAACTAAAACAGGGAAGTGTTGCTTACAAAATGTCTCCTTTGAATGTCCTTGACTATTCCAAATGATGTTGTACCAATATGACATTAACACATATTCTGATGAGAAATGGGAAAACAGTAAGAAAAGTTTTAAGTTATCAATAATCGCACCTTGGGTTGACCTCATTGGCTAGGATACTGCCACTGTGTAAAGTACTAAATACACTGCCTTCCCTTAAATGTAGTAACCTGAACGTAAGTGAATAGCCTGCTGGCAGTAATAATAGCAACACATTGCCTTTTCCATTCAAACTTGAACATGGATCATCAATCCATATGTGTGAACTCTTATGCAAGGGTTGCCTCACTCAAGTCCAGCAATGCAGCTTCTGGTGCACAGGAGCCTTTTGACTGCATAAAGGAACATGCTGTACTACAAGAACATACTACACAAAATTTAAAGGTATAAGAGAATTAGATTAACACTACAAGGTTGAGAGAACTGAGCCTGCTGCCTTCAGCTCTATAAAGAATCGTGTCATGTGATAAATTGAATTTGTTTATCAGTGATGCAAGTTTTAAAATGAGAATAAAATTGTATAAATAATAACACATACAATATTATTTGAGCAGCTGCAGTGAAACCATTACAGTGTATTGCTGAGCAATTAATATGTAGACACTTTGTTGTTTTATATGTTTGCTTGAAGATTTTCCATGGAAATATTTTAAGTGGAAAGAAAGAAAGGAAACAAATGTAGAAAACTATCCAAAAGCTACACAAAATAACAAGATAATTAGAAATTCTACTTACTATGGTACCTCCTGGGAATGGTTATTTGTATGTATCATCATTCACTGTTCTCTGTGAGTAGGTATTCCCAGCCAAACCACATTTACTATGATGTTCTGTGAATCCCATTATAGAATCATAGAAAATTTGGGCTGGAAGGGACTTCAGGAGGGTCACCTAGTCCAGTCCTCTGCTTAATGCAGGACGATCCCAAACTACATCATCCCAACCAAAGCTTTCTCTAGCCAGGTCTTAAAAACCTCAAAGGAGGTTTTTCACAGCCTCTCTTGGTAACCTGTTCCTCTGCTTTACCACCCTGCTAGTGAGAAAATTCTTCCTAATATCTAACCTAAACTTCCCTTGCTGCAACTAAGACTGTTGCTCCTTGTTCTGTCAACTGCCATCCCTTAGAACAGTCTAGCCCTATCTTCTTTTGAACCCCCTTCCAGATAATTGAATGCTTCTGTTAAATCCCCCTCTCAGTCTTCTCTTCTCTAAACTAAATATTCCCAGCCCCCTTACCATTCTCATTGCCATTCACTGGAATATCCAGTTTGTCCATGTCCTTTCTATAGTGGGGGACCCTAAACATGGACACAGTACTCCAGATTTGGCTGCACCAGTGCTAAACAGAGGGGAAGAATCACTTCCCTTGATCTGCTGGCAACACTTTTATAAATGCAGCCCAGTATGCTGTTAGTCTTCTTGGCAACCAGGGCACACTGTTGCCTTATATTCAGCTTGCTGTCCACTGTAACACTCAGATCCTTTTCTGGAGACCTGCTGCCCAGCCAGTCAGCCCCAAGCCTGTACCAGGGAATGGGACTGTTTCATCCTAAGTGCAGGACTTTGTTGAACCTCATGAGATTCCTTTTGCCCAATCCTTCAGTTTGTCTAGGTCACTCTGAATCCTCGCCCTACCCTCAGCTTGGTGTCATCTGCAAACTTACTGAGGGTGCACTCTATACCATCTTCCAGGTCTTTGATGAAGATATTGAACAAAACAGGCCCCAAGGCCAACCCCTGGAACACTCCATGTGATACTGGCTGTCAACTAGACATTGAGCCATTGATTACTACTCTCTACATTCAGTTCTCCAGCCAGTTTTCTATCTATCTTACAGTCCATTCATCCAGTCAAGACTTCCTTAGCTTGCCTACAAGAATGTTGTGGGAGACTTTATCAAAAGCCTTGTTAAAATCAAGGTATACTACATCCACTGGTCTCCCTGCATCCACAGAGCCAGTCACCTCATCATGGAAGGCAATCAGGTTGGTCAGGCATAACTTGGTGATTCCATGCTGACTGTTCCTAATTACCTTCTTCTCCTCCAAGTGCTTAGAAATGGATTCCTTGAGGATTTGCTCCACGATTTTGCCAGGGAATGAGGTGAGGCTAACTGGTCTGTAGTTTCTGTCACGGAAAATCTTAAAGGTGTGCTGACAACACAGAAAAACTAGAACTGACATGCGCAAGACAGGCTCATGGAATTTT